CATATTAGAATTAGTTAAACAAAAAGGGAAAAAGAGAGGATTGAAAAGAAAGAAGGAAAAATAACAATTATGCGTTGAGATATAAGAAATGCAGCACGATCTTATCCATGATAGTGTTGTCTCGTGTCTTTGTTTAATAAAATGCATGTTTGTGTTGATAGTGAATATGATTTTGTTGGGTTTTTAAGCTATTAATGCTTAAAATGGGGTGAATGGGAAATGGAGGGAAAATGAAATATTTGAGTTTCCCTCCTTGATTGTCCCGTATGGGAAGAGGAAAAGGTTTTTGATGGGTATATAAGCAATTGCTCTTCTTCTAGCTCATAAAGAGTTGAGAAGAAGGCAAGCCTCGCGCCGTCGTCGTCATCGCTCGGCTCGGCACAGCTCGGCTTCGGCTTCGGTCAAATGATTGATTGATTAATTTTTGGACCAAATTTATTTGTTAATAGTAAATATTAACAGAAATGTTATTAAATATTTGGTTTACAACATATTAATATTAAAATAAATATTAATATTAAATCCAATTCAGTTATCCAATTTTCAGTTTTCTGTTTTTGTAACTGAAAATTAACTACCCTTCAATTTTCCTTCTTTATTGTTGAGTAAATAGCCATTTATGTTATGGCATTTATGCTATGGTCGTTTTGCATAAACAACCATTCTGAAGAGTTGCATCTCTTCAGATTTCAGCCCAACTTTGGCTATAAATACAAGTCTATTCTGCTAAGAATTTTCATATGATTTTCTGAGTTTCTCCTCATTCTTCTGCATACTTTTAACATCAAACAAAGCAACAGTAAGTGTGATTTGCTACTGAACTTTGTGTTCGCTGAAACACTGGGGTTTGAAGTACCACTACACCAGTGTGTAATTCGTTCTATCCTGGGAGGAAATAATCCATAACCTTGGGTACTAGGAGGGGATTAAATTCCTTAAGGAAACACTGTGAATTCAGTGGGCTCAGATTAAAATTCTGTTTCTGTTTTTCATTTCTGTTTATGTTAATTTATATTTTCTAGAATTATTTTACATATACAGTTTACTAACAGATTTAACTAATTATATACACAGTAAGGGTAAAGAAATTCAATAGTATCAATATTTTAACTAATTATATACACAATAATTGTAAAAAAATTCTATAGTATCAATATAGCAAGTTATTACTGTATTTTTTGGTTAATTAGAACAAGTATAATAACTTAAACAGTCAAATTATGCTGTAGGATCATCTTTAGCTGATGGTTTAAAAAAAAAAGTAGACACTGTCACTTTACAAAAGAAAAACTAATAAGCTAAGCTGAATGTATTAAACAAAGCACTGTTATGATCACACCAAGTTGTAAAGATAACCAACAAACAATAGTTTTCGAATTTTGAACTGGTCCCCTGTTTTTGCCCTCTGGCTACTTTTTCAACCAATAAAAAATCTTCACCACCTACTGATCTACTTCCTTCCCTCAGCTTCTTCATATAAAGAAAATACTTAAAATTCACCAAACATAAGAGCTTTGTCCGTGGAGTTAAGTGCCTTATCATCTTGATCAAATTTGAGCTGTTAAATAAAACCCGACAAGAAATAATGAGAAAAGGGTCAAGAAAAATGTGGTGGGTGGTGCCATGTACAAGCAGATCGAAGAGCTTCAAGACAGAACCAATAGTGGACATTGAAGAGATACTGAAAATGAAACTCGAAACCATTAATGAAGAACCAGAAATCTGTGAAGAAAATGGCAAGCTGACGAAGGCACATCGAAGCAATACTATGAGCAAGATATTAGTGAAGAAGATTAAGCTCCAAGTCAAGATAGGTCGCATATTTTCGCCTCAATTTAGCCTCAAGGAATCGTATGTTTTGTTCATGACTGGTTTGGCTACCAAAGGTGCGTTAAATGGTCTTCCTAGATATTAAGTTCGTACTAAGAAGATCATCATATATTGCTACATATATTTTGGTGATTCAAGACACTGTATCTTCCTAAGTGGATGAATAGTTTAACATAATTAATCTCTCTGGTTCTTTCGTTTTTTAATTAGTATCTGTAAATCTTGGTTTTGTAGATTTACCGCGCGCTGTCATTAACATTGTGATCACTTACTTTTGCCAATTTTTAATTTAGCCTTCCCCAAGCCCCTCAATTTTGTTACATTTGATTAATCAAGATTACATTTGGAAAGGCCTGCTACCTGTTATTTTTGTACTATAAGATATCCTTTATACAAGGATTCCCGTTTGGCCATGACTATATATATTTGAAAGTACTTAAAATCAGTATCTGCAAATACTAGTACTTTGGAATGAAGTATTTTAATTTTCACTTATAAATATTCACTGTTAGCAAAATTTGATTAAAAGAGAAGTTTAGTTTCAAACACAATTTTACCTTTCAAAAAGTGTTATCAAACTTCAACTATAATTTTTCTTTTTTCAATATCAACTCAAATGTTGTCCAAACGCATTTGTGTGTTTGAATCTAAAAAAAATACTTTGTTTATAGAATTTTAATTTAAGCTACTTAAATTTCCTATATCTCAATAAGGTTTTTGATAACAAGAACTAAAGTATCGTATTCAAATAAATAGCTAATATTTTCTGAATATTGAAGCATGTATATAAATGGACTAACTAAATTTATGCTTCTATGATCAAGTCGATCCTCCGATTGAATCGGGGGCAAACGCCTACAAAAAGAATCACTTAAATTTAAGAAAAGGTCACACAAAAAGATCACGCCTACAAACGCCTTCTTCTTGTGAAACTCAACACTGATGGTTCATGCATTGGAACTGCGTTTGGAGAGGGATGACTAGTGAGAGATCATCTCGGTAAACTCATCATGGCTTTCATATTGCCATTGGGACAGGGAACTAAATATTGGGCTGAAGCCTATTCATTCTTGTTTGGCGTAAATGGTGCATTCAGAAGGAGTATAATCTAGTCATTGGCGAGCCTGACTCATTACTACTACATAATTGCATCTCAGTAGCATCGACTACACCATGGAGATTGGAAGGGGTTGTAAAAGAGTTAAAGGATTTGGTAATAGGCATGGAGTGCTAACTAGACATTGTTACAGGGAAGCCAAAAGAGTTGCTGACAAACTAGCTTTCCTAAGCCACAATACTAATATATACTCTTTTCGGTTCAATTCCGAGACAAGCTAGAGGTTTATTAAATACAGACATATGGCAACTACCATCCTTTCGAGTAAAGAAGAGAAAACCCGGGATGCTCGTTTATGAGCCACTATGAAGTAGCAAATTTTTTTATTTCATTTTCTTTTCATGTGCTGGCTCATGGTTCAATAGCTTCGTCTCTCTAAGTTACCATCTTCCAAGAAGGCTAGGCCTAGTCCTCCTTCTTCAAGTGTACTAACCTTCCGGTGACAATAAAATCATGTATTAAAGTTAAAAAAAAAATATTCCTTATACCTAACATCTTGTTTCTTAATTCAAATTCACACAAATATGAAGTACCATTTCTGATTATATAATTTTAACAATTTAATTGATTATGGATAAATTGAACTGGACATATCTAGTTCATCTAGTATTTGAATCAACAACATCCAAATGCATAAACAAGAGTCCATACTATTGTTTGTTTTCGTTCTGGGAAGACTAAAATATGTTTGTCAAGAAATAAAGAGAAAAAGAAAAAAAGGTCACAAATTTGGCTGTAGCTTTATCGTTTGCAAATAATACAAAAATTAAACGATACCAATTATAGCCTCCAACTAGAAGAGCCCGAGAATAAAGCTTTTCATCTCATCCCTTACAAAGTATTTTAGAGAATTTCTATATCCTCCAAGTAAACATCAATGTTTTTTCTTTGATGCCAAATTTCTACATCATTCCTATTTTGCTTGCGCTAATAAGTCAATATTCCATATATAAACCTCTGTTTTAAAAGGCAGAGTTGGGATTTGCCCGGGGCTCGCTTCGGGGCGGAGCACTCGTAAAACGCCCCTGGGCTTATGTATGGGGCTTAGTTCCGTGAGACTTACGCCTTCGGCCATTGGGGCTTACACCCCGGTCACGCCCAACACACAGCGTACTGGGCTCGCCTAATAGAACTTTATGCAATTGTATGTAACTAACCTTGTAAATCCTCAAATTTTCTTAATAAATCGTTCACTATTCAAAATTACTTTTTTCCTAATTATAAATCATTAAGTGAGTATTTTATGTCATAATTAAAGTAAAAATTATTGCACGTTATCCACTAAGACTGTTATGATATTTAATTTTAAATAAATCTTACATTTTAAATGTATTTATTTATTAACTTTTGTTATGTCTTTACTATATAATAGTCCATAATTTTTTTTATAATTATTTTTCTAAATATTATTTTTCTCATTATGAGATACAATACTTATTAATTTAATAGCTCGGTATTAACTAGTAACTATTTACAAATAATTAGTTATCATGGTATTGTATGGTGAATTATGTGTCACTTTATGAACTTGTTGAAATTTAAAAATGAACGATGCTTGAGGATCATATTTAAATTGTCAATTATATTTTTATATAAATTCTCTCAAAGCATATCAAATAAAAGGAGTATTTTAAAAAAAATATCAAATTATAATATCGAAATTCTTTCAAGATTCATTACTTCTTAAGAGATACATATACGATTTCGTATCGAATACATTACTTTTGATGTTTGAGCTGTAACATTGTTGCAGCTAATTTGCATATTATATGTCATACTTTTGTATTATTCATAGTTGAATTATAATTTATAAATATTTTGAATAGATTATTTGTTACTCCTTGATTTTGTGATTTTAATGTAATTTTTATAATTATTTTTTATTTTATACTATCTTAAAGTTCTTGAAATTAGTAAAATTTAAAGATCCGTGGGACTTACGCCCCATGTCTCAGGGCTTACGCCTCGCCTCGTCAGGGGTAAAACGCCTCGCCTCACGCCCCCGCCTTTTAAAATATTGATTTAAACTTTCAAATATGTTTCATGGGATAGGATGTGTACTCCTAAATCTGCTGGTGGAATGAACCTCATCAATTTTCTGCTATGGAATAAGGCAGCAATTGCAAAGATATGCTGGGATCTAGCTCATAAAGAGGATAAGCTGTGGATCAGATGTATTAATGCTTTCTATATAAAACATTATCAACTAGAGGATATGCCAATTCCTAAACAGGCTAGTTGGATGGTTAGGAGAATAATTGCCTCAAGAGATATTCTGCAACAACTCCAAGGCTCAAGTGTTCACAAGGGCTCTATCAGACAAATATACCTGCAGCTACTAGGAGATCTACCAAGAGTAAATTGGAAGAACCTAATCATGCAGAACTATGCTCGACCAAAAGCAGTGTTCAATCTATGGTTAATGCTACAAGGAAGATTGCCAACCAAGGATAGACTGGCTAAATGGAAAATGAACATAAACCAACAGTGTGTTTTGTGCCAAGGACATATAGAGACAAGAGAACATTTATTCCTGTCATGCTCATTTTCAGAAGACTTGTGGGAGCAAGTAATGCAATGGATTCAAGAGGACCAGCCAAAGAATCATACCTGGGACCAAAGGCTTCAATGGATCATTAGCAAAGCTAAAGGAAAATCAAGCAGAGCCAGTATTTCCAAGATGGTGATCACTGAAGTTTCATATGCACTATGGATGGAAATGAATGCTCGTATATTTGAGAACAAATATCGCAACAGTGAAGTCTTAGCAAGAGAGCTAGCTTACATACGTAATGTTAGAGGAAATCCTAGAACTAGAAAGCAGATGCAGCAATTCTTGATATAGTAGACTAGTAGTTAACATAGTTATGGTTAGCTAGTAATTTAGATGAGATTTGATAGTCAGCTGAGTATAAGCTGGACTATGACATTGTAAAGCATGATCTTTGGTGATTAATAAAAATTTTAATTACCAAAAAAAAAAAATACTAAGCATGTTTTGATCTATTTTTTTATTTGTATAACTGTATATTGTTAGTGCTGAAGTTAATTTTTTAATTAGTCAATTTTGTATGAGTCATTATTTTATTTTTATATTATTCTTACATATTCAAAGGTTTAATTATTTCTTAAAAAATATTTTATTTATATTAAAAATAAAAAATTACAAGTTCTTAAATTAGTATTTGCATATAATAGTTCAGGGTGAAATATTTTCCATTTTCACTTATAAATTTGCTAACAAATTGTTATTCAACTGAAGTTCAATTTCAAACACTACTTCAACTTTCAAAATATTTTCTTCAGCTTTAACTTTATTAATTTTTTCAATTTTAACTCAAATGTTGTTCAAATGCAAACCTTATGTATTGATCACAAAATATTTAGCTATAACATTCAAATTGCAGGCATATTTGCAACCAAGAGGAATTAGATTTGTCACAGTAGTATTATGCGGAAGAAAATACAAAAAATAAGTGGAACATATAATTCAATAAAATAAGAATAGGTCTATAGTCCATACTGCTATGCTTTAATGTTCCCTGCTTTGCGTATCTACAAGGAAGGGAAAAATAGATGAAAAAAATGGTGGGAACACCAAGACAAGGTTTAAAGTCTTAAACATATGAACATGAATCAGTTGTTGTTGTCCATTGGTCTGACATTTTGATCCATAAAATCTTGACAACATGGGCCAAGTTACTACTAAATCAATTGTTTTTGCTTTAAACTCTTGCAGAAGAAATTAGGAACACTAGAGAATGGCCTCACAGTCACTTGTCACTCTGCTTTCTTAGATGTCACTACATTATTCATGTTAAAACCATCTTAGTTTTTTTTTTTTTTTTTTTTTTTTTTTGAAAATGTAATTGGATTCTTCCAACTCAAGCATAAGGAGAAGATAGAAGATATTAAAAAAACAACCTTAGGGATAGTTCATTCTATTATGTCCGAAAAAATCAGGTGTCTTGCGGAAGTTAGCATAGCAAACCTTGAACGACGATAAATCCAACAACAAAAGAGAAATCTACCAAAAGAGACACAAACATTTAACGTGGTTCGATCAACTGACCTACGTCCACGGCGGAGATGAGCAATCCCACTATAATAAAGGAGAGTACAAAATATCGAAAGAACAACCTCACGAAGAGGCAAACACAAGTGACACACTAACACTTATCCCGTAAAGTTCTCCCCCTAAGCACTACTCTCAAACCCTATGTGACTATATTGTGGATGCTACCGAATGAGAAGGGTGGTTCCTCAATTTATTGCACTCCAAACCTTTTCTTACAAGAAAAGGGACTAGCCAAATATGGAAGAATTATATTTTCCTTCTATGAAAAGAAAAACCCAATTATGGTAAATATGTTGTCATTTCCTTCATGAAATAGGAAAACCAATTACGATAAGAAAATCTGGACAAACATCTAACACATTCTATAAACACTATGAATCTAAGACCAAAATTTGATCTCTTCCATTTGCAACCTAGCATTACATTCGATATTTTAATTTTATAATATCATAAGATTAGCTACTTCTATAATTCATTCGCTTTACGCTAGACTTATTTTTTACTGACAAAACCAGCTATATTTGTCTTTATACTTTCTATTTTCCGAGGTTGAACAATATAAAATATAAAAAGTTTATATAATGCACTAATGGTCAAGTAAGTAATTGACACTCTAGAGAAAATATTTAAAATTGAATGAGCAGTATATTTAAGATAATCTCAGGTATTATAGGGGCTCATCAATATATCGTATGGTAATGTCATTTCTAATAAGTGGGATCATTCCAAGCATTTTGTGTATTCTTTCCTTCAAATTAACTTTTCCAATTGTAAATATGCATGCTTATAAACTAGAGACATTTGTATGACTAATTATTTTATTATTGCAAAAACACAATTAATGGTTTAAACATTTTACATTTTACTGTTATCAATTTAGAAAAAAGTTTGAATATAATTCTAAGAGATAAAAGTTTCTTATATCAATTGGAGTATTAGAAAGTCACTTATAAACCGGAATTTAGATTTGAAGAAACTTAAGCCATGGATTCTATTTCTATCTACTGGAGTGACGATGTGATGGTGTTTTCTATGGAAGGTACGTGCGGTGGCTAAACCAGAAATTTCTTTAAGGGTGTTTAAGTATAAAAGAAGTAAAATAAAATTCCGACAAAGGGTGTTCAATATATATTATATACATCCAAACTTATTATTTTACCCATATATAGGTGTAATTTTTCGACGAAGCTTCGCCCCTGGGTACGTGGACCAACATTGTTAAACAACCATGAGTCACATACCTATTTTGTTTCTACTTGATTTGGTCTTAAACCGTTGCTAAACGTGTCCAAATCGTTGCTATATATCTAATTGAAGTAGATACGTGTAAATGCTACAAATGTTCCTAAACCGTCGCTATATTTCTTCTACTATTATTAGTAAGTATATATAGAGGCTATTGTACTCACCGGGGAGCCTTTAAAATATATATTTTAGCGACGATTATCTTGATGAGCTACAGAAAGAAATTGTCACAAAATATTTTATATTCAGAGACGTATCCTATACTTAAATTTTATGGGTTTAACTTTTAAGATTTTTATCATTAAACTCATTATACTGTTAAAACTATAGGTTCATATCTTATTTGTTGAGATGTTAATAGGTAAGACCCCCTGTTTATACTTAAGTACTCATTTTCTTGTAGTTCAACAACAAATTAAATCATTCAATATCTAAATCTGACCTCCAAATCTTTTGAACTAACTGAAGTTTATCCTCATCCCAATTATTATTTGTTAGCTACTGATTTTTCATTTATTCTTCCTTCTTTTCTTGAAAGGAGTTCAAAGGTTAGCCACTTAATCAGAGGCGGATCTAGAATTTTTAGTATATGGGTGCACTACTAAAAGAAAATAGAAAAAAATATATTAAGTGGGAATTGATCCCTCTTGCTCTTGGTAAATAACTCAACCTTCAACCAAGTGCACCATTCAATCTTCTTGGAGCATGGGTGCCAAGAGTTAGTATTATACCAATTTAGGAAATATGTACATAAAATATTTAATTTTATGAAGAGACCATGAGTTCACGTGCCCCGCATTTTACCCTACAAATCCGCCCCTGCACTTAACCACTTCATTCGAGATATATATCATCTCAAGAAAAATAAATACTACTAATAAAAAGGAAACATATCGAGGTGTAAATGTATCCATAACCTGCTGTGAGCTGAAATATGGAACTGCAATTACACACACACACACACCTTTTTGAACCTTTTAACTTTCCAACTTGTTGTAGTATTGATAAACAATAAAATTCTTTTGATTAAAAATAGGCGTAAAAGCCAATATCAAAAGGTATTCCTTCGGGATTTAACAGTGGAATGAGAAAGGACAGGAAGTCCCCAATGACAAGAAAATACAATTGCAGGACATACATCTTCCATATTTTTCATTCTTTTCACTATCTCCCCATATATTCTAGCAATCCTCCTTGGCAATATTACCATAGAAAATGCCTTCCAATTCAACTTTCTAGACCGTGATAACTTTATACCTTTAAATCTTCCATTCATTTTCTTGATTAGCCAACACTTTCTTGGCCTAGTTGCAACTTTCAGATCTTCAACTCCGCCAAGTCTTTCATATCTTCTTTGAAACCCCATCTCCAGCAACATAATATCTTCAAAATTTAAATGATTCTTGGACTACTCATATGCAGAAAATAACATTCTCCAATCAAGTATTTATACAAGAAAGAAGATGTTAAAAGAGAAAGAATGCATGCGCCGTCAGTTAGCACATGGAGAATCTTGCTCTTTGTATTACTTCAAAGAGTAGATATAACAGAAAAAGAGCAGATTGATGATTCCTTCAACACATGGTTAGGATCATATTATAGAACCAGTGCATTGTATATAAAGGAAAAAATTAAAGGGGAAGTTAGAGAGCAGAGTACTAAAACAAGTTGAGTATTTAAACAAGAAAAGATGCTCTCCTATTCTTTTGGACACATGGCTAGCACAATGGATTTCAAGCTTTAAACAAACTTACCAGCTCAATATTCTGCATTGCCGCTCTCCTCTGTTACAGAGTTTTGTTTGTTTCCTTTGATAATGTAATTAGCAGATGATGAATGGCATGGAATATTATTGTCATGTGCAATGATTGATGTGAAAATTATAAAAAATAGAATGCCAATGATTTGTTTGGAATATGTGGAGTTTTTGCAGCTTTCCATTTAGAAACAAGACTAATATCTAGTTATTTTTTAATGTATTTGACAGAGATTATTTTGGAAACTTTCATCTATGGACAGAGATTGGTCAAGGCCTAGGAGCTAAATACATTAAAAAATGTTGTTTAGACCAAGTGATTCATGTCCAAGTCAGGTTAATGATATAATTGAGGTCCAAATTACAGATGCCAAGTATGGCTTAGAAAAGGTCTAAATTACAAATGCTAAGTATTTACACTGTCTTAATTTGGCTAAAGGCTAAGTCATCTGTCTTGTTGATAAGTGCTTTCACTATTCTAATTTAGTTAATCAAAAGCAATTAGATGTAAAGATTTTAATATCCTAAGATACAAGCTACGGGGATCAAAGAATGCTAATGTAACATACAAAGGTTAAAGCAAATGATTGGATCTACTTAATTTTTCTCTTATATTAGTTTCTACATTTTTTCTTGGAAGAATAATTGGGAAAATGTCAAAATTATACCCATATATTATTGTATACCCGTAAAACAATACAGTTGAATTTGTAACATGATTTATAGACAAGCGAATCGATTTGATCCCAAAATGACAAATAAGTTAAATAAAATGCAAGACTTAGCATTGAAATCGAGATAAGACAGCACATAGCTTGGTTCCAGGAGCAGAGCTTCCGAAGGCAGTAATAAGAATATCAATAGACACGAAATAAAGTGTTATTGAGCTTTGGAATAATATGTAGCATAAGTTTGTCAGAAAACTCATGTCATTTACAATGGCGGTTGAAGTCACTATTTATAGTTGCACCTAGGGAACAAGGTCCTAGGGTCAAGCCTCTCTTAAATGACAATTAAGGGGCCATTGATGAATGTATAACAGCAGGCTATGAATACCAACATTCTCTATAACGGATTATGTATTTAATACTGAAAAATATTCCTCATTGAATGCTATCGGGAAGCAAACATTCGTTTGTCTTCATTAGCAATATTCCCTTTGGGATCTTCTCGGTGCCAACCGAACTGATGTCCCCGGTCTTGGTTTATACTTGCCTCACTTTCCGTCTGTCTCCGATTTCACGTGTCGCTCTATTATTCGAGCATTTAATTCGAACCGATTTCACCCTATATAGATAGTCCCCCTGCTCACCAGCATAGATTACGACAATGACCATGGATGGATGGAGCGGTTCGTTGTTGTTGCCACTAGGGATATCATCCCGGCCACAACTCCGTCTCTTCCTGAGTCATGGATTCGTACACGTAAGTTCAGCGTCAGTCTCTTCTCTGATAAAAGGTCATTTAATGTTATTACTGATCTGTTTCTTTTCATTATTGCAGCAACTCGGTGGACACCACCAAGAGTTGAAGGCTTGGACCAGTGGGTCCAGAAGATTTAGAATATTACCACGCCTGAGACCCGCCGGTGGTAGGCCAAAAATAATGGTAAGTTAATTCACGAAACTAATCTTGTATTTACCTCATTTTTATGTATAAGAAAATTGGTTAATTTCTTTTTTCGTTTAATTCAGGTCTTCCGCGGAGCTCTATTACCTTCCCCGAGGAGGATGTTTTGGCTGATCCCGCAGAGGTTGCGAGGTTGCTGAAGGAGGCCTTCACCCGAACAGGTGCTATCGGGTCCGCTTCTAGTGTAGGTGCTTCCTCTCGGAGTCTCCGGTCGGAGAGCAAGCATCCAAAAAGGATGCGCTCCTCCTCGACCGAGGGCAAAAGTGAAAAGGTGAAGAGCGTCGTGCCCGAGCCAGCCACAGCTATTGTGGTGATTGATGATGACGGGTAAGCCAGTGATGAAGGGGCTTCCTTACAAAGGAGACAATGACATTCATCAGCTCAACAGAATGCTCAACCTGAAGAGCTAATAACACCAACCGAGGATGACGTCCAAGCGCTCTGGGAGAGTGTGATATAATAGAGAATGCAAATTCTTGCTTTCGAGCCCCAATTCCTACTCCCGGTACTACGGGTCTAGATAGGGCCTCTTCCGTCTTCGGTTGATGAGCAACCTACAACCAGCACTTCCTTTGCCGCAACTTCTTCTTATCCCGCAACACCATCAGCTTCATCTCCTTACACGCCGGTCATACCTTCGTCACCAACAATTTCTACATCACCCCCACCGGCTGCAGACATCCGAGAGGAGGATGTCTCCCCTCCCAAAGTCCAGACCATGGGGATTTGGGGCACAACTATTCGCGCCCCTCTGCAGATCGCTAGAGGAGAATGGGCGTCTCCCTCTCGATTTCTACCGAGTTCCATTTGCTGTCTCGACTGGTGGAACCCGCCAATTACCTGAAGCCGTTGGCTACAGAGAAAGATAAGAAGATAATACACTCTCTTTCGGGTGTATTTTAAACAATTCCATGCACAATGCAACAGTGGTATGATATTTGTTCCTTTTACTATTTCTTCTTGTCTTGTTATGACATGACTTTTGAGTTTTTGCTTTGCAGGCTAACTTCATTGCTTCTGAGGGCCTTCAGAAGTTGATCCTCGATAAAGAAAGACTCACGTTCGAGCAGGCCCAACTGTTGGCCGAGCGGGACCAAATTGCTGCTTGCCTCCCAGCATTGGAAGCGCAAGCTGCCGAAGTCGGCGATTTGGAGGCTTGGTTGTAGCAGAGCGAGCAGGAGGTGATGGCCCTTAGCCAAGAAGCCGCCCAAATAAATGTACAATTTCAAGAGGCCAAGGCTAAATGGTCTGTGGTCCAAAATAATATTCTTGCCGCTGTTGAGCACGAGGCTGCCTCTACTGAGAGATTGAATAATTTGTAGACAGCCTTGAACTCCAAAGCTGAAGAGGTTGCTCCTGTTGAAGAGAAGCGTGCCCATATGGAGGAGAAGTATAAGAGTGTCATGGAGCACAATAAGTTTCATATCTCCACTATCCATTAACTTGATCTCAACCTTCAAGCCACAAGATCTGAGCGGAATAGCCTTTCGACCGAGGTTGATCAGCTTAAGTCAGAACTCCAGCACCGAGCGGATTCCCTCACTGTTTGGAAAAACATTTTCGATGTATAGAATAAGGAAAAAAAACCTTGGAAGAGGCCAAAGCAGGTGACATTGACTTTGATGCCGAGATCGCCAAGGCCTGTGAGATAGAATCAACCGCCCAGAGGTGCCTCCTGGTTCGACCCGATGCAACTGATTCTTCTGGCTCCCATTCGACTTCTCGATAACTGATGACGTCCACAACACATTTCAATAAGAGATATGATACAGCCGTATGCAATAATAATTACCCAACTATGAGTCGGGGTCGAATCCACTGTGAGTTATGAGGGGTGCTAGGAGTATATATTTGAAGCAAATGAATGGGCTATCTAAGATTGCACTTCCACAACACAATTTTTGTTTTCTACTTCTACTGTTACTCTAATGAATGCAAGCTAAAGAAAATAGACTAGAGATGAATTGTTTTGAGGTTTTTCAAATAGGTTAAAGGCCTAGGGCTGTGACCATAACCTAGGTGTTTGCCTAATGGGATAAAGACGTTAATGCTTGTTTTGTTGATTGGGGTGTATTATAGCTCTCAACTCTACATTACCCACTTAATACCTCTCGGTTAGAGAGTGACTTTTTTTTAATTTGTCTTTCTCAAGTCCAAATGGGTATCAACCAAAACAGTTGATAAGAGCTCAAGTCGGGTTATTACTATCTCTAGGTTGAACCCTTTATTTAGGTTAATCAATCTCTCAATTAACCTAATTCCTTGTTAGCTAAGTTATCCTAGACTAGGTCCTTCTTTCTCAAGTAGAGACTAAGTCAAATAGGCATGAATTATAATTTGCAACCATTAATTCTAAAATTGAAGCATGAACTAAGCTAAATAATCAACACCCAATCATAAATAAGCACTAAATTAGATACCCATAAGGTTTACATACTAGGGTTGGGCCACAACCCTAGTAAAATTCTAGCTACTCATAATAGAAATTGCAGAAAATAAAGAAGAAAAGCTAATTAAACACATAATGAACAGATTAAAATGATGAAATCTAATGTTAAAAAACCCAAATAAGCTAAAACTTCCTAAAATAGTAAAAAGAAATGGTTACAACAGTTTTGGATGTTCAAACTTGACCTAAATTTGTGAAACTCGTCTACTTATACAGGGCCAAAAATCACGGACAAAAATGCCGCTCGGGAGGTTCTGCGGCCGCACAATTCCATGTGTGGTCCACAGATTTCTCCAGCTGGCAGGAAAGTGAGTTCTACGGCCGCACATTTCTTGTGCGGCCAGCACTTCATAAAGGCTTTAGGATTTGGACTTCTACACATTCTTTGAACTTGAAAATATTTGTCAGTGCAAGACCAGTTCTGCGGCCGCACAATTCATGTGCGGTCCGCACATTGCTTAAACTCCTGATGGGCTATTTGGCTTGGGTTGAGGCCGTAGATGGAATTCTGCGGTCCGCAATTTCATCTGCCGCTGCAGAATTCCTTTTGCAGAACCAACCCTTTACCGTGAGTGTTTCATAAGAGAGGATCCTCTTGTGTTTACGGTGCTCTTGAAGCGGACGTCTCCTGTTCATCCGGCACTAGCATTTGAAGTACTTCATTATCTTCAAATGATAAAATTAATTCATCGTTTAGACAAGAAACAAGATATAATATAAAAGGACTTTATTTTATTCGTTTTATCTTCAAAAGTACATAAGCATTCATTTTTGCTGAAAAGAAATTGTCATTACTAGTGGCTAATTTGTACAAGTTGTTTTTACGGGGCTGGCCGTGCAGTCCCCGGCCCAAATGATATATTCTATTTCTTGAATCTCGTAGTCCCGGTTTCTGTGGCAATCAGGTTTCCATATTCTCATATTATTCCCCCCCAGTGTTCGAATACGAAGAATGCGAATTGGAACACTGGAAGTCTTGCTCT